AAAATCAAGTATCTCTCCTGAAAAATGACTTTCCTTCTCAATTCTCAATTTCTGGCAGTGAAAATTTCACTTCTGTTGCTATTACCTCTAAAACTCATGGAATAAGAAATCCTCAATTCAGTCAGACTGATGGAATTTGCAGTCACGCAACATCAAACTTAAATTCCCTACCTCTGTAGACCATCTGCAGACATTTAAGTAAAACTTTAATCAAGAGGATTAAATTTTTGTTTAATCAAAACAAAAATTAAATTATTTTGGATTAACTGGAAGAGGAAATAAAAGAAATTCTCAAACACAGATATTTAAAAAGTTACATGAAAATAAATATAGTAAAAACCACAATGGGAATTTAACTTTCTTAACATTATGTTTAGATATTAAGTATTAATAATAATTTTATCCTTTATTTTCCATAAAGTTAAAAACATTTGTACCATGCTTTCCTTTTGATTAGAACCCTGAGAAGCTGCAGTTGTTGCATAAGAAAATAGCAAGAAATAAAGCCAATCACTTCCTCTTCCTATGCCAAGATAAGACTCAGCTGCCAATGAAGTTAAATGGTTGTGGGGAGGGGGGAACACTGGGTATGGGGAAAAAGATCAGAAGATACAAAGTATCTTCTGCATCAGGTTAGTTAGAAACTCAGCTGATCTGCTCAAAAGAAGCTACACTTCAAGTATCTTATTAATTCTCTTAAACATACAAACACAATGAAATAAAACATAACTAACTAGTAGAAACAAGGTTTTTGGAGATAGGTGGCTGTTACTGCAAGATAAGATTATGACTCCAGAAAAGACAGAAAATGAGGATAGTTTTGCTAAGTCTTAAAGAACACAGGAATGGAGACACAGAATTTCTACGTATTTTGGTTACAGCAAGACTGATGTCATGGTACTTTTAGTTTTTCCCTTTAATCTTGCCTTATCACTTCTTTTGAATAGGAAACTGAGAATAGTTTGTACAGAGGAGGTGGGTATTTTTCCTTTCAAGGATTAGTGAGCAACAAGGGGAAAAAAACCAACTAGAGATCTACATAAAAAAACAACATAATTTAGGTTGACAGGTTTAATTTTTTCTTTAGAGATTGTGAAACAATGTATTTAATGTTTAGAAAAGACAATCTTAACACTTTGTTCAATAAATATTCTATAAATTTGAGAATTACATGTACTAAAAACACAGTTCTATGATGTGTTAGTTGAGGGAAATAAGAGGAGGAAAATCAGAGAAAAAGATGAAAAATAGAAAAGGTGAGGGAAAAATAAGGAGCAAATATTTATTGAGGGCCTACCTCCCATGTGTTAAGGCATTTTACATACAAAATGAGACTGAATCTTCATAAAAACTTTAAGAGGTGGGTAGCATTATACCCATTACCAATGAGGAAATTGAATCTCTGAGGGATTAAGTAATCAGGATCACGGGGGCTAATAAAGTAGTAAAACCAGGATTCAAAATTAGATCTGTCGTACTTCAAACCCCTTTTCATTGTTTCATAATGCTCAGCTTCTGTAAAGACGTGGAAGAGGTAGGGGAAGATGTATGCAGAAGAAGAGAAAGTGGTCGAGATGGGTGGAGAAGGATAAAACACATGAGAGAATGAGACTCAACAGGGACAGAAAGTAGGTGGTTGGTAGGAAAGAAAGGCAGAAAAGGAAAGTGCGAGAAAGCAAAATACAGCACGTTGCATTTGAGGAGTTGCTAGAAGAGACACAGAGAAAAGGGATCATTTGGAAGTCTGTTTAAAATACAGGTTTCAAGCAAATAAACAATTTTAAACTATCTATTGGAATATCTATTATCAGAGTAATTACTCAAAGGACTTTAACCCTTACATATTTTGAGTATTGTTTCTCAACTTTGGCACTATTGAAATTTTGTGCCTGACAATACTTCGCTGTAGGGGACTATAGCATTATAGGATGTTTAGCAGCATTCCTGGCCTTTTCATATTAGATGTCAGTACCACCCCCTTAGTCTCAACAATAAAAAAATGTCCAGACATTGTCAAATGCCCCCTGTGGACAAAACACCCCCAGTTGAGAACCACTGATTTAGAAGTTCCAGTCGGGATGATTTAAAAAAATGAACAAAAGATGCCTATCAAATGCAAAATTATTCCCTGAGTTACTCTAGTGACTGGATGTCCTTAGGAACAAGATGAGATTAAGTTAGGGCAGAATTCATCTAAGCTCATAGCACTTGTTACAATATTGCTTGCAAACTGCTTTTAAAATATATGAAAGGAAGTGAGTACAAACTAACATTTAGTTTTGAACTACACAATCTAAAGAAGGGCAGAAAATTTGTCAGACTGTTCTTCCATCATGTAGTGTGCTTTTTGTATTTATGAAACAAACAAAAAACACTAGCTTTGGTGTTCAGAAACCTGGGTTCTAGTCTGCTCTAGCATGAGTTAGCTGTAGGACCTACAGCAAATAATGTGGCCTAGGGAACAACTATTGGCTTCTCATATTTTACCAAGAGTTTAAATATACACTTCTAAGAAAATAGTTAAACAACTTCATATGTATGTATTACTGATACTATGTTGAAGGGCAAATGTGGTAAACACAGTATATTGACTTGCTTATTCTCCATTCCCTTGCCAAAATGTGGTCCACGGGCACAGCATCAGTATCACTTAGGAGCTTGTAGAGATGCAAAATCTCAGACCTCACTCCAAACCAGCTGAATCAAAATCTGCATTTAATAAGAGATGATTCCTATGCACATTAAAGTTGAGGAATACCTGTGTCAGTTTCCATTGCTATAAAAAAATCAGACACAGATAATATAGCACTGGATAATTTATAAAGAAGAGAGGTTTCTTTGGCTCATGGTTCTGCAGGCTGTACATGAAACATAGTGCTGGCATCTGCTTCTGGTAAGGGCCTTAGGAAGCTTACAAGCATGGTGGAAGGTGAAGGGAGAGCAGGCAGTGTCACATGGCAAGGAGGAGGGAGGGAAGGAGGGAGAGAGAGGGAGAGAGTAAGAGATCCCAGATTCTTTCAAACAACCAGATCTCGTGTGAACTAAGTGGGTGACAATTTACCTATCACCAAAGGGATAGCACTAAGCCATTTATGAGGGATCTACCCCCATGACCAAAACACCTCCCATGAGACCCCACCTCTAACACTGTAGATCACACTTCAGTATGAGATTTGGAGGCCACAAGCATCCAAACTATATTAACACTGTTCTATTCTGCTTTTCTCCTAAGGTGTTTTTCTAATTGCAAAGGCTGGAAAAATTAAAATTGCCTTTCTCAGATTTTGTTTCAGTTAGGACTTTGGTTCAAAATTAGGTCTAACAGCTAACACTCATATGCTAGCTACGTGCCAGAGACTGCTCTAAGTACATCTCACATATTATTAATTCATATAAAACTTCCAATAATCCTACAAAGTTGATACAATTATTCCCATTATGCAGATGCAGAAACTGAAGCCCAGAGAGGTTACTTGCCTAAAGTTACAGTCAATAAAAGGCAAACCCAGGTATCCCTGATCTAGAATCTGTACTGTTAATCATATTTCTACTGATAGATAAAAAGGCATGGGCCCCTTCACTGACCCCCCATTTTGTTTCTTTTTTACAGCTCATCTCATGGAACACACTTTGGCAAATGCTGTTACAGAAGTTCCTTCATTTATTTACTTAAATTTATCTATAAGCCAGTATTGTTCTGAAAGTTCTAGACATTGCAAAAGGCAAGAAATAGAAATGAGACATTATCATTTGAAAGGAAGCGAAATCATTCTTATCTATAAACTGGATAATTATATACCTAGAAGATGCAAAAAATCAAGTCTAAGAGATACTAGCATTTATTAGTACCAGTATAAAAATTTAGAAAGGTGGCCAGTTAAAAATGAAATACATAAGAGCCAATAGCTAGACACCAGAAATAAAATTTGATATGGAAAAAATCCTTTTCATAATACCAACAAAAATAAAAAACTTAATATAGATTTTAATATAATGCTTAATATTATAAAAGATTATACAGCATGATTTATAAAAGAAAGCTTGAAGCAACTTCAATGTGCGGTGTTAGGGGAATGAATTATTTGGCAGCCCTAAAGAGAGTTTTCACATAGAATTTCCATAACATGGGAAAATGACACAACCTTTTGTAAAAGAAGACACAAAATTCTATTTATATTAAAACATGTTAAAAATACGTGTGTGGCTGGACACAGAGACTCAGACCTGTAATCCCAGTACTTTGGGAGGCTGAGATGGGAGGATTGCTTGAGGCCAGTAGTTTGAGATTAGCCTGAGCAACATAGCAAAACCCTATCTCAAAAAAAAAAAAAAAAAAAAAAAGTGTGTATATATGCATATACACATAGACAAATGAATATACTGTAGTAATACCAAATGTTTCATATTTGATATCAAAATATTATTCAGAGTGGGATTTCAAAGGCTTTTTTCCTCTTTAGATCTTTTTATAGTTCTAATTTTCCAAAGCACACATTACTTTTATCATCATAAAGATGTTAAAGCTCGAGTTAATAATTCTAAAGTCAATCTAAGGATAATGGGACTTCCCTATTCTCTAGGTAAGAGGGTCATGTTAGGTTATTTCAGATTGTAAGTGTACATTGTGCCACATCTAATCAGATGCTATTGACATTTAAGATTATATAATAATGGACTGGAAATGTTTAGCCTTCCAGCTATGCATCGAGGCACAGAAATTCTTAGGTAAAGCCACCTGGCATTCACCCTCATGAACATACTTGGATCATCTCTCATGCACACTATTACCAACATATATATGGAATAGCTATGTCCTGTCTCTTCAGTTCCTTGGTCATTCCTTGAAATTCCTTCTTTCCCTTGCTTCTCTCTCTTTAGACACCTGATCCTACTTCAAACCTGGCACAGTTTCTTCATCTACGGGACTTGATTCATTCTCCCAATGCCTTCTTTCTTAAGTGACTTGATTTTAACCAGGCCTCCTTTGTCAGTCACCCTACCTGGAAAGACTCAGGCCAGAAGGACAGAGGAACCTTCATTTTTTGCTCAAATGGAGTAGCATCTAAGGACAAATTGTAAAAAATGATGCAGACAATATCTTAACTAGTAATAAAACACCTATGTTAATACTAGCATTTCAGTATTATATGAAATAAATAACAAAATAAAGATACATTTTGTTCTGGTATTATAACAACAAGCTGATCAAAGAGCCTTCCAGGTTGAGGAAAAGGAATGAACCTTTCAGATAGAAGTGGAAAGAAAAATCAGTAAAGGAAGGGATGTATGTGGAGGAGGCTTTAGCTTGAAAAATAGCCCAAGAAAGAAACCTCCATCAAATTATCAGGAAAGGGCAAACTCTGTGAGGGGAATAGAAATAGAAAGGGACTTAGTACAGAAAATTAGGTGTTGACACAATCACTGAAAGAGTTAGATGAGCACAAGTCAGGTGCCTCTGGAGTTATCGAGTTCAAGAGCATACAACCATAGCTCTTTTCCGGGTTAGAAGGAGTGCCTCTGCTAACTCCTGCCTCTAATTTCCTCTCAATATCCATGAGGCTATCCATGACTCTGGAACACCAAGTGAGCGTGCCAAGCACAAAAGACGGCAGGAAGATGGCCTCTGTCTCATTTCCAGCTAATTAGTTTTGGTTCTGTTTCTGTTTATATCATTGTTTTCATGGAAAAGTTCACCTTAAGTTCTAAATCATGAACTTAGAAGCCAATCTTTCAAAAATATTCCATTTGTAATCTGGCATCCTTGTATCCTTAAAACAACCAAGACGACAAACAAAAATCATCTCCTTAAATAAAAGCTAAATAAAACGAGTCCTTGGGATATGTGCCATTGTTGTTAATTACATTTCTCCCTCAAATATCTTTATACATGTAAGGCATAACAGTTTTACATTTACAGGACTTGAAAAAAAACAGCAAGGCTTTATGATAATATTACCAAGAAACGATTTATCAGAAAAGTTTGCTTTTTACACCAATGGGTTGGGTTGCACCAAGTTTTTGCTTATTTTTGGCTTCTTGACAAATTCTTCTTTGCTGCTAATGTAGTAGGTAATGCCTATCTCAGAAGTGATTTTTAATTATTGTGTATGGGGGCTTCGAATACATTAATAAATCTTGAGGCAAAAAGAGAATGATAAAAATAACTTCAAAAGAGTACAGGAAAATGAACTTTCATGACATTCAATGAAGGAGCAGGTATGCAAAGTGATATCTGTTTTCTAAGATATACATTTCATTTTTTGTTTTATCCTTTTACTTTGTAACATAAGCAATTTTGGAAAGACCACGGCTATTAGTGATGTCTACATAATCATACTAATGAAGTGCACAGAAGCTTAAATGAAGTATTTTATATGCTCCCTTACAACCATTTGAAAATTTACTTTGGAAACCCCTGCTCAAATGCACCCCCTCCCCACCCCCAAAGGAATTCTTGCGCTGTCTTCTTCACTTTTCCAGTTGAGCAATTTAAGCTAGAGGAAACCAAGCCCTTGAGCAACTGAGTACAGTTAACGGGAAAAACCACTAGGAAGGCAATCAGAAGAACTAGCTACCAAATTATTTGCTTGAGTCATTTTCTCTTATATTGTCACAGATGAAAAATTACACTCCACGTGGTGAACAAACCTAACGCTAAGGCATATTTTGTGTGCTGCACAGTGTTACTCTGTTTCCTAAGTAACCTATTGAAACAATATAAGGTATACATCTATTAACGCATTTAGTGATGATACTGGAATTTGTGAAATGTGACAGAAAGGATAGATGAAGAAAGATGAGGAGAGACAGGTATTAATTGTTCTAACAGTACAGGCTGTAATAAAGGCCAATAATCATTTGAATTCCTGCTCCTTAACGTGATTCTAAAGATTGGCTTACCTCAGGTATTTGGAAAGTCTAAACACTGTATTTGCTGTAGAAAATTCATCCAACATACAATTCAATTTTAAAATTAAACCTTTTGCCTAATCTTTAAGATATCTGATGTTATAATGCCCATTATCACACTTTATTTAAATGAGATCAAACTCAGCCAGTTTAAAAAATAACCCAACTTCTCTCTTCCCTTATTATGGCTGGCCTCTTATACTTCTTTCTCTTTAGTATAATGCTAACCGAAAGCCATATTCTTGCCTCTCCACTTCTTAACTGAAGCTTTGATCTCATCTGTGTTTATGTGAAGAACTTGCTCTGGGAGAGTCCCTGTCAAGACATCCATTGTAACACCCGCTCCTACTCATGCTTTCAGCGCTGCCCTTGGACGGAATCCACCCACACCTTCCAGACACGCTAGGTGTGGGCTCGGAAACGCAAGATGGAGGGCGGGAGGGGAGTCCCGGCGCAAGGCACGGACTCGAAGTTGAAAAAGAAGTGTTTACAAGTGAGGCTTTTAAATAAATCACCACTATGGAGGGCATTTCCTCCGAGCCCTGGGCGCCGGCCTGAGAATCCTCTGCCGGACGCCAGGGGACTG